CTAATGCCCATACTTCCCTCCCAGAGTAGAAAAAAAACACTAATTCATTTCAAATCAGAGAGTTCCAACAGAATGCATGAATGTTTGGCCTTTGACCAATATTTAATCTTTGCATGTACCTTTTCTGTATTATAACATAGCTGCACTCCAAATGTATTGTACTTGAGAAGGTGGGGGGAGGGCATGGGACAGGGAACAGGAGTATCAGTTTATTACAGACAAGGAAAGAAACAAATTATTTTTTCAATGAACTCTAAATGATCTTTACTTATCTAAGAAAAAGTGCAATAAAACCAGAAATTCAAAGAGAATTTGTTTGTGTTTGAGGTCTTACATATTAAAATTGGTTGAATCCTTTTTCCAGTGTTATCAAGTTCACTTTTGTTTCTGCCTTCAAAAGAGTGGCATAGGCTCCACATAGCAGAAATCAGTGCAAACGGAAACTGTAAAATATAGAAAAAATATTGACAGTTCTCATGGCAAGAAGTCTTTTGGAGCACGACATATCAACAAACCCACCTTGCACCACACTTTGCATTATTTTATGGGCAAGTGAAGGTCTCAGTGAATATAGCATGTTTGTTACTGCTAGTCCAAGAATTTATTGTGGCAGATTGAAAGGACCCATTGTAGAAGAACTGCACACATATATCCATAAAATTCCCTAGACTTACTTCCTTCCTGATATCAAATTTGTTATTGTAGGAATAGTTCCATATTCAGTTTTCTCTTCTCCTGCTATTAGATGGTTGTCCTCTTTTCATTCTGTTCTAAACTATGTTCATTATTCTTTAACAGTTTAAATTCAGAAGCTAAATATAGAAAGTGGTTGATCACCTATTTAGTCAGTACGTCTCTAAGAGAAGGAACAATGGTCTGGTAAGGGCTGATAAATAACATAATAGTACACAGATTGGCAAATGAGGTACACTAGCCCAATATCTGCATATTTTCATTTCAAAAAATTGTCAAGAATTCTCCTGCTGCCTCCAAAATCTGAGGTTTGAAGAAAGACTCTGCACATTCCCAAGTGAAATACAGCAAACCAGCTATTCCTATGAATGTTGTGGCCTTGTAATAAGGTATTTACTATTAACTCTTCTGTCTAAAATTTGTGCCAGAGCAGAATGCAACTGCCATTTGTGATACATTTTTTTCCCTCTCCATAATATGTGTTCCTATCCACACTCTAAACAAACTATTTTTATGATTTTTTCCCTAAATACCTTCTTTTAGATCCTAAACCAGTTCAAAATGTGTGTTCTTTACTTAATGGTCACTTACTTAATTTTCCAAACTCTTTCCACAGGACAACCAGACATTGCGACTTTGTTTGCAATTACTGCTGAGATCTGTCTCAAACTGAGCTATACAGATATTCATCCATACAGGCAAAACCGAGAGGGCAGTTAGGAAAGAAAAATGTCATCTGAACCTCCCACGGGCAAGAGGGGAAAGAATCCTTTCTTCATAAAAGCCAGAAAGTACATTCAGAGTTAGTTACTAAACCGGCAAGCAACCCCAGAAATTTTAACAATGTCTCTTTGATGCGTTCCCAATTCTTTCCAACAACAAAACATATGAACTGTGTGTGTCAATTTTCAAAAGGTATAAAAACACTTATTTATCATTATACCGACATGGCTCCAACAATATTGTATAAATACTGTAAGGAAAAAAATGCACACAAATTAATTAGGTGAAAAAGAATCTCAGGAAGTGTCCTTATTCAGAAACAATAACAGTGTTCAAAAAATCATTCAAAAAGAAGCCATGGACAAACTAAATGTCTTTCATATAGAAGTAGAAGAAGACTTTGTAGAAAATATTTTCATATTTTAATAGTATTTCCCATCTCAACATAAAATCTAATGCAAGGAACTTTAGATAAGGTGATTGCTTTTCTGTTTGTGTTCTAAACAGTGAAGAGAATATTTGCACAGATCTGCAGCATTTCTGGGTAAAGCTTTGCACCTCATAAATAAATTGCTAGAACTACTTGCAAAACCAAGTGCATGTTGCCTAATAAGTTTGCATGTGTAAAGCGTGATTTATTGTACACACAGTTCAAACAGACTCAGTAAAAATTTTGCCTTATGAGTACTATTAATATCAAAAAATAATTTATAGCCATTTCATAGTAGAGCAGTTTATAAACACATTCACCCAGGTTATTCTGTTTCCTTCCATTCTGCTCCCTTTGGGATATTTGAGTAAAGGAAATGGAAATGGAAAGCTAAAAGAAGATAATGGAAGGTTATAGAAAATATTCTTCACTTTGCGTGAGCATATAAGGGGCCTACAAGGATGCTGGGGAGGGACTCTTCATTAGGAACTCTAGTGGTAGGACAAGGGGTAATGGCTTTAAACTTAAACAGGGGAACTTTAGGTTAGATCTAAGGAAGAAGTTCTTCACAGTGAGGGTGGTGAGGCACTGGAATGGGTTGCCCAAGGAAGTTGTGAATGCTCCAACCCTGGAGGTGTTCAAGGCCAGGTTGGACAGAGCCTTGGGAGACATAGTTTAGTGTGTGGTGTCCCTGCTCATGGCAAGGGGGTTGGAACTAGATGATCTTAAGGTCCTTTCCAACCCTAACTATTCTATGATTCTATAAAGCCATATCCATCACTGTAACAGTTTTAAGAATTTGTATAACAATTTTTCTGTTCATTTGATAGAATTTTTGAATGCAAAAATTAGTTTTTTGACAAGGAAGATTACCCCAATGCCTTCTCCCCCAGCCTCCCCCTGCCCATAATATAGAAAGGTGTTCATGTAGCTTGGGATTTTTAAAGTGATTACTTACGTTTTTCAAAAGTTTGCTTTTAGAGGTGCCATACCCTTTTAACTTACCTCTGCAACAAATAAAGAAATAGGATGAAACTACAGATAAGGGTAACATAGAGTGTCCTTTTAAGAATTCATTGTGCCCTACCTGAGCTTCTGGGAAGGTTTTGCTTATAAGAACAGCACTTCTTAAGCACTCAGCAACTTCTAGGTACCTTATGCTGAGGACTCAAAAGTCACAGGTCACTGTGAAAATACAGGCCAAGACCTGATCGTGGAAGAGTTTATCTGCAAAAAAATGTAAACAGAGATTCAGAGATAATAATATTCCAGTTATGGCTGTAGTGATTTTCATGTAAGAAATAAATAAAAATTGTGTAGCAACAATTCTTTTTAGCATTCTGGTTTTAACTCTGAATATTATTTACATAATTTCATGGTTTTTATTTCAGATGACCCAGGAATCTGTATAACATGTATGCAGAACTATTACATGTAAGTATAGCTGTATAGCTCTTCATGCTTATACATTTTTCTAAAGCAAAAATGTGTGGTTTACTACATAGATCCGCTCTGTGTGTGTTACCTCATTCCTTATAAGTATTGCCTATCTGAGAATAGTAATTTTGGAAGAAGGCTTGCAAAATGCTGATAAACTAGCCGATCTCTCACTATCAAGGCTACTTAAAATGCATGGACTGATGTGAACTTTGCATCTATGAAGACAGTAATATGGATAAGAAAAGGTCTAAAACAGTGCCTTCGGATTTGGAATTAGTATGCTCTTAATATATTGTGACCACTTCTGGTATCAGCAGCTCAGTGGGCACATTTAAAAATGTTAAGCAAAGGAAAAATACTAATTGAAAGATTAACTTAAACAGGGAGAAATTAAGAACTTTACTGTTTTTCAAAGGGACATCTAGAGATCTCTGTAAAATCATCACGACAAAAGTAAACATTCATAAAAAAGCTATTCAATCTAGCTGTAAACAATCTAGCTGTAAACAATGGCAATTGATTATATATTTTTACATGCAATCATATATATAGTAATTTCTAATTCAACATGCGTTCAGTTTTGTGCCTACATTTAAAATAGAAAATTAAAATAGTTACACTCAAGAACTCTGAGATTAGAAAATATCTTTGCTGGTAACATGGATAGTGGGATTGAGTGAGCTCTCAGCACATTTGCCAGTGACACCAAGCTATGTAGTTCGATTGATATGCTGCAGGGAAGGGATGCTATCCAGAGAAACCTTGACACAGTTGAGAGGTGGGCCAGTGTTCAGCAAGACCAAGTGCAAGGTCCCACACCTGGGTCGGAGCAATCCAAGGCACAACTACAGGTTGGGCAGAGAATGGATTGAGAGCAACCCTGAGAAGGACTTCGGGGTATTGGTTGACAAGCTCAACACAACCCAGCAGCATGCACTTGCAGCCCAGAAACCAACCGTTTCCTGGGCTGCATCAAAAGAAGTGTGACCAGCAGGTCAAAGTACGTGATTGTCTCCCTCTACTCTGCTCTCATGAGACCCCACCTGCAGTACTGCATCCAGCTCTGGAAGCAACAACACAAGAGGGATGTGGACCTGTTGGAGCAAGTCCCGAGGAGAGCCACAAAGATGCTCTGAGGGCTGGAGCACTTCTCTTATGAAGACAGGATGAGAGAGAGCTGGGCTTTTTCAGCCTGCAGAAGAGAAGGCTCAAAGGAGACCTTAGAGCAGCCTTCCAGTATCTAAACAGGGCCTACAAGATATCTGGAGAGTGACTTTTATAAGAGCAAGTAGTACTAAAACAGGAGGGAATGGCTTTAAACTGAAAGAGGGGAGATTTAGATCAGACATTAGGAAGAAATTCTTTGCTGTGAGGATGATGAGGCACTGGGACAGGTTGCCAGACAAGTTGTAGCTGCGTCATCCCTGGCAGTGTTCAAGGCCAGGCTGGAAGTGGCTTTGAGCAAGCTGGTCTAAGGGAAGGTGCCCCTGCCCATGGCAGGGGGTATTGGAACTAGATTATCTGTATTATCTCAAATATTCTATGATTCTAGCTAAGTACAAATACACTTTGATTGAACCCTTCATTAGAGGAATAATTTCTGTTCATTAGGATGAGAATAGAGCTTTACCATTACCATACCTAGAAACACACAGAAAAGAGACTTAGTGACTTTAAAGGAAACTTACTAATGATGTTCTACTTTATCTTACAGGTATAAGCAGCATTGCTATAAATACTGCCCAGAAAATACCTACAGAGATGAAAGTTCTCTGCAGTGTAGAGAATGTCCTAGCAAATGTGATAGCTGTGACAAGGATACGTGTGACTCATGTAAGGAAGGCTTTTATCTCTTAGGTAAGCAAAATACCATATATGGCATATATACCAAAGTATTTTAGAATTTTTCTTTAGAGAAAGAGACTGGACCCAAATTCTTAAATTCATAAATCTCTTCTGCAGCAGACAGTGGAGGCTTAGGGATTTAGCCCTTTGCAGAATCAGATCCTTTGCATTAATAGGGTGCTTATGCTAGCCAATGGTGCAGTTTGGTTCTATATATTAGACCACATCTTCCTACTTGCTTTTTTTTTTCAATTTTGTTTTTGATGCATTTCTGCTCTTTTAATGAAATAGAAAAGCTATTGTGTTTGATTCAGACTTAGTGAAAAGAAAGGGTTTTAACTCACTGAAAGATATGTAAACTTTTCCTTACTGTTTGTAAGTTGAGTTTTATTTTGACTTTCAGATCCACATAAAGTAACAAGCCTTAAACCCTTAAACTGAAACAAGCTCAGTTAAAACCACTGAATTACACATCAGATTCACACAAGACTAGGAATATCTTAGCTTTATTACAAAGCTATAAATCTGGCAGGTCTGGTTCAGACATTGTGCCAAAAATGTATCACAGGAAATCCTGAGGTTATGGTATTCTTGTGCTTTGCCTGATGAAGATGCCCTGTAGTCGAGTACAAGAGCATCACATTCATGGAAAACTCTGTGGTCACATCCTGAGGTGATCTGGTGGTGTAGGGGGTTTTTAATAGAAATTCGAGGAAGCTCAAAAAATTATCAGTGTAACAACTTCTAGGGGCTTTGCTGCAGTATGCCAACCCTTAAGTCAACTTACCTGAGTTTAGCTTTTTATTAGCTAGAAACTAGAGATCTGTTCAATTCCTCAAAATTTGCATATATCTAACAATCTTAGGGACCTCTGGACTTAGATTTTATATTGGGCCAGTGTAATAGCTGGGATGGAACCATAAGATTTTTATCCAGATTTGGACTTTTGGAATATTTGTATATTCCAGATTTTAGGATGTGGATGAAAAATCATCTAGATACAAATTTAAGTGCAGCTTGAAGTTTATGAAGCTTGCATAAGAAACTGAGCTGAATTTAGGCTTCATGCTAAAAAACTAGAGGTTACATAGCTACACAAAGTTTCATAGTTTCTTATGTACTGTTTTTTTCTTACACCATGTCTTGCTGGAGACAGAGAGATGCTGTAGGAGAAATACCTCCTTGTCAGGATTGACACGGGGCAGTAGAAGCCATGATGCCAGGCTCTGGTTCTGTTGCAGGTGGCACATGTGTGAGTGAGTGTGGGGATGGCTTCTTCACTGATGACATCTCCAGAGAATGTGAACCTTGCCACAGGAGCTGTGCAATGTGTGTTGGATACAGCTATGAAAACTGTACTGGGTGCAGAAAGAGTTTCCAGCTATCTCACGGGCAGTGTCTGAGTCCAAGAAATTCTCCACCCAGTGGGAAGTTCTGGAGTGGTAAGTTGCAACAGATTGCTTAATCTTTTCTGTTTACCTTGAGACTACTAAACTAAAAGTTTAGAAAGAGGGTATCAAGATCTTGCCCCTTGAGTGACACTGCAGTGTTGTCCAACTCATTGTCATTTTAAAAATATACCGACCAAAAACAGTGGTTTCACAGAATGAAATTCATCTTCTTGCAAATAGCATATTTTAATACAACTTGGGTGTTCCTTATCTAGGAGTTGCCTTATCTAGATGGATAGAAGTTAAAAAAAAAAAAGGAAAAGATAAAAGATAGATAATAGGTTAAAGTACTGGGAGTTCCTTATCTAAAGCACTGGAAGCCTTCAAGCTATGTTTTAGACGAGTTTTGGAGCTACCGATTCCCTGCATAGAAATATGTAGAACTGGAGGAAATGGAAAGTAGTCAAGTATGTGTCTGTCTGTGTATGTGGTATGTGTTTAAAAGCAAGCTCTTCTTTTCTCCCCTTAATTTAGGCATGCACCACTGTCTAAGGGAACCAAACACAAGACACAGAACTACATTTTGAAGTTCTTGTCCTACTTTGGCCATTTGTACAACCTTCACAAAATAATCAATTCTTTCTTGGTGCCCTCATCTATAGCATGGGGAAAACAGTTTTCTCTCAAAAAAAAAAAAAATAAAATAAAATTTGGAAGGAATATGTTTTTAAAAATTAAAGCTGTTGAGGGAATTATTTTAATTAATTTTTTAAATTATTTTCAAATGCATCCCAGTTCTGTCACAAATTTCTTGATAACAAAGTGTTAAATGAAAAGTGAATAGGAGAAAATTTGTCATTCCCATTATGTCAGTTACATAAAGTACAACTGAATAGGTTATGTTACCAGATGAAGCAGTAATGAATTTACCACCCAGCACACAAATTAAAACTCATTTGCTATGAATGTCCATTCTTTTTAAGTGAAACATGTGCAACACGAGGAATTTCAATAGTTAGGATTGAAAGTGGCACTTTTTAATTATGTGTATATCATACTCTCCAACAAAGGGTAAAATTTCCTCTGGAGTTTCAATAGCTCTTTTGCTGATCACTGTAAACAAAGAGAAAAGTCAATGTCACATAATCCTTTCACTTTCTTTATAATTGTAAAGCATCAGCTGGAATAACACCTTCGGTTTTGGGCACACTGTTGAAAGAAAGAAGTGGGCTGATTAGAGGAAACAGTGAGGATTACCAGAAATCTAGGGAGAAAATTATTTACAATGAAAAGTTGTGATAAATGAGGGGTTTAGAACTAAATGAGAAAGCTGAGAAAAACACAGTCACAGAGAACAGAATAGATTGGGTATCTGTAAGTGAAGTAAGTAGGACTTAAAATGCAGAAAAGGAGGTTTAGATTTGGCATTAGAAAAAAGGGGACCTTCAAATGGAATAATGGAGTAATAGAACCTTTGAGGAAGTTTGGGGATTTCCATCACTAGGGGTCTTTAAGAACACATGAAAAGCATCTGACAAGGATGTTTACTGAATGGAGCAAGAGACTAGATTGCTTAAGGTGCCTTCCAGCTTTATTTTTCTATCAAATACAAATTTTCCTCTGATTCCTATGTCTTTATTTGACTCAAACACATCAAAGAATGACTATCCTTAGATCTATACAACCTGGCATTAAAAATTAAAATACACTAACCAATATTTTCAGAAAAAATATTGACCATTTCTATTCATTGCCTACCTATGGTGAAATGTTGTATCAAAAGGAATGACATTTCTTCACTTCAGAAAAAGATCTGAGATCTAAAAATGAGAAATATTAATAGAAAGTTGGTCTCCTCCATGCATTTTCTTGTGTTTCATCCATATGAGTTAGTATGTTTTCAATTTGAGACTATCTTCATCAATGCCAGGGAAGAGCACATCTGTAATTTGGTTGATCTATTGGTTATCTATTTCTCACACTGTCGAATGAGGTGACTTATTGTCAGTTTTTTTCTTTTGAGTAGGCAGCTGATGCAGTTCTGTGTATAGCATTGCTGAAAACCTTTCACTTCATCTTGCATACTGTTTCACTTTTCTTCCAGTAGTTAAAACACATCTTATTTATGGGTATTTCAGACAGTAAGGTACATCTCTGTCAGAGCTATACCGGCTTGAAGATTAATGGCTGCTCCAAAATTACAGGATTTCTGCTACCGCTGGTGATAGGAGCCCAGGGAACCTGGCTCGTGGCTCTTCACCTTTTCTTGGATACGCTTGCTGGGATTCCTGCAGTGTGTCTGCAGGTGTGCCATGTAACTGCTGAGAAAGTGATGTTGAACTGTGAAATGGCTTCAGCCTTTTCTCACTAGGGTAGGCTTCCAAATAGCACTAACATTCAAGTCAAAATGTTAATGACATTGTCATTGTCTTTACTGACAGTGGGTAAATCTATCAACAGTTTGTGAGGCTTCTTGCTCAGATACTGTTGGATTTTCTGGTTCTCATAACAGTCATTTGCATCTGCTAATTAACAAGAAAATCTAAATGGCTGATTTTTTTGGCTATAATATCACTCTTTTACTCATTTCTTTTGATAATGCATTGAAGAGGTAATTATCAACTAAGTCCAGATTTACAACTGATTTTTTTCTTTTAATTCTCATTTCATGCTGAAGATTCTTAAAGAAGAATATAGGACTCAGGCAGAAGCAAATGGCATTTAACTCTAGTATTACATCACACACATAGGCCAGTTCATAGGCAGTACATTTCACACCCTGATACTGTTTGAAATATGTGGGTAGGGAAGGGAAGGGAAGGGAAGGGAAAGGAAAGGAAAGGAAAGGAAAGGAAAGGAAAGGAAAGGAAAGGAAAGGAAAGGAAAGGAAAGGAAAGGAAAGGAAAGGAAAGGAAAGGAAAGGAAAGGAAAGGAAAGGAAAGGAAAGGAAAGGAAAGGAAAGGAAAGGAAAGGAAAGGAAAGGAAAGGAAAGGAAAGGAAAGGAAAGGAAAGGAAAGGAAAGGAAAGGAAAGGAAAGGAAAGGAAAGGAAAGGAAAGGAAAGGAAAGGAAAGGAAAGGAAAGGAAAGGAAAGGAAAGGAAAGGAAAGGAAAGGAAAGGAAAGGAAAAAAGAAAAAGAAGAGAAAAAGAAAAGGAAATGGAAAGGAAAGGAAAGGAAAGGAAAGGAAAGGAAAGGAAAGGAAAGGAAAGGAAAGGAAAGGAAAGGAAAAGAAAGGAAAGTTTCACAATCTGTTACAATTATTTTGGTCATTCTCAAAAGCTTTCTGAAAACCAATAAAATTTAGGAGAGGCAGCCATTGTATTTTACTGCTTTTTTCAACAATGCAGTATGAGATAAACCTCACCGCTGTCATGGGAATGAAGATGATCCAAGGCACAACTACAGGCCGGGTGGAGAATGAATTGAGAGCAGCCCTGAGGAGAAGGTCTTCAGGGTGTTGATTGACGAGAAGTTGAACATGAGCCAGCTTCAGTGTGTGCTTGCAGCCCAGAAACCAACCGTTTCCTGGGCTGTATGAAGGAGGTGATTGTCTCCCTCTACTCTGCTCTCATGAGACCCCACCTGCAGTACTGCATCCAGCTCTGGAAGCAACAACACAAGAGGGATGGTGACCGTTTGGAGCAAGGCCCGAGGAGAGCCACAAAGATGCTCTGAGGGCTGGAGCACTTCTCTTATGAAGACAGGATGAGAGAGAGCTGGGCTTTTTCAGCCTGCAGAAGAGAAGGCTCAAAGGAGACCTTAGAGCAGCCTTCCAGTATCTAAACAGGGCCTACAAGATATCTGGAGAGTGACTTTTATAAGAGCAAGTAGTACTAAAACAGGAGGGAATGGCTTTAAACTGAAAGAGGGGAGATTTAGATCAGACATTAGGAAGAAATTCTTTGCTGTGAGGGTGATGAGGCACTGGGACAGGTTGCCAGACAAGCTGTAGCTGTGTCATCCCTGGCAGTGTTCAAGGCCAGGCTGGAAGTGGCTTTGAGCAAGCTGGTCTAAGGGAAGGTGCCCCTGCCCATGGCAGGGTGGGTTGGAACTAGATCATCTTTAAGGTCACTTCTAACCCAAACCATTCTATGAGTCTATGAGTAGCACCAAGCTCATCCTCAGCACATGCCTTGCTCCAGACAATGCAAGAATACGATGCAACTAGGAAGATAGCCAAAATTTCCAAATCCAGTAGTTTATGTCAGCATTTACCAAGTTAGTCTTCTATTCATTCTTTTTCTTTAGAAATGTTACTAACAGACAGCTGACGTATTAGACCTTGAACTATATTTACAAGTAATGAAGCCATTTCTCTCCCAGCCACATGGATTCGGTGGGTTCCATTGTGGTTTTAATGACTCTGTTGATGTGCCATACGGGACAAAATGAGTTTTGGGAAAAAAAGACTGTTGTTTTTTTTGATTCCGAGGCTCACATAAGTTAAAGGGCAGTACATCAGAGCCTGCCACAGAGAAACCAAAATAGAATCTGACTTTCTTTGCAGTTTGAGAGTATAGTCCATCTAGGTGAAGGTTAAAACCTCTGTGAATGCAGAATACACTTCTTTCCATATTTAAGCTTTCAATTAATGTTTCTTATGCAAAGATAAATGATAGACCAGTCTTTTGAATTTTTAGGAGCACACACTCCAGCATTCTATACACACTCTAAAACATTCTGTAAAAAACAACCTCATAAAATGATTATTTACTTTGGGGGTATACTTTGCTGGGCAAATAGTCCAACTTATATCAGGAATCATTAATAAGTCATATTCAGGTCTGCAATAATGCAACAGACCGTGCCTGTTACCCATGCTTTTAAAAAAACAAGGCAAGCCAAGAAAGAAGGAAAAAAAATTTAAAAAAAAAAAAATAAAAAGAGGTTGAGCTCTATGTTCCTAGAGTGAAACATCTGTATTTTATCTTATGTACCAGATGATGAAATTACTTTGGAAGCCAGGAGACACACTAGTGTAAGCTTGATTCATCAAGTGAATACACACACCCTTTCAAATGGATTAGACATTTTGAAAGCTCTGGTCAGGTA